CTCAGATAAGGGCCAACTCAGGTGAAGGTAGGGTCCCAGCTAAGGTCTCACTCAGGTGACATTGGGGTCTCAGGCAAGGTGTAACTCAGGTGAACATGCGATCTAAGGTACGGTCTAACTTTGGTAAAGATAGGACCTCAGGTATGTCTAACTGAGGTGAAGAATGTGATCTTAGGTAAATCTAAGTCAGGTGAAGGGCGTGGTCTCATGTAACGTCTAAGTGAGGTGAAGAATGAATGCGATCTTAGGCGAAGCCTAAGTCAGGTGAGAAATGTAATCTCAGGTAATGTCTAACTTAGGTGGAGGTAGTATCTTAGTAAAGCCTAACTCAGGTAAAGATTGCGATCGTAGGCAAAGTCTAAGTCAGGTGAAGGGTATGGTCTCAGGTAAGGTCTAACTGAGGTGAAGGTAGGGTCTCAGGTGAGGTCTAATTCACGTCAAGATAGGGTTCAGGTAAGGTATAACACAGGTGACGATGGGATCTCAGGTGTAGTCTAAGTCAGGCAGAGCGTGTGGTCTCAGGTAATGTCTACCTCAGATGAAGGGTGCGGTCTCAGGTAAATTCCAACTCAGGTGAAGATAGGTGTCAGGTAAGGTCTAATTCAGGTGAAGTTAGTGTCTCAGGTAAGGTCCAACCAGGAGGAAGATGGGGGGGAGGGTCTCAGGTACGTCTAACTCAGGTGGAAGGGCTCAGGTGAGTTCTAATTCAGGCGAAGGCAGGGTCTCAGGGAAGGTCTAACTCAGGTGAAGTGTGTGAATCAGGGACGGTCTAACTCGGGTGAAGATAAGGTCTCGGGGAAGGTCTAACTCAGGTGAAGGTGTGGTCTCGGGTAAAGGCTGATGGAGGAGGGTTCTGGGACATAAGCTGTCTTGAGGTCCGGGCCCACTTTTGGACCCCCGTCCTTGTCATCAGTGGTGGGAGCCACCCCTTCCTCCTGGGGGAAGAGGGTTTATAACTTTCCTCCAGGCAGGGGCACACCCCAGGCCAGGGGAGGCCACAGAGCAGCCGTGGACTGTTAGCCATGGGCACTCAGCCGCTGAGAGGGGCATCTGGGTGGGTGCCACAGCCTCCAGGACAGAGGGCGGTCAAGATTTCTTCTTTTAAACATGTGTAGGAGGGAATTCCAATGGTAAATGAAAAGTTGAAGGATGCGATAGAATGGAGGTGGGAGGGGGTCATCCTGGACGTCTGGTTTTCTCTTTTAGACCCAGCCAATCTGCAGCACACCCTAGGGCCGGGATTTGGAGTTCGTGAGACAACGAAGCAAGGGGTCCTTCCTGGTTGTGACAAGATGACAGCCACCCCTAGCTCCAGCGTCACCGAGTCGGCTGTGGTGTCCAGTGTGTCACGGGGGCGGCACCAGCAGGGCCCTTCCGTCACCTCTCCTGTCTCCTCCACGTCTGTCCTTTCCCGTCCTATCTACTCTCCGAGCTACTCAAGGGTCATCCCCTGAGTGCATTTGTTTCCCACTGTGACCTCCTGTAACCGGTTTCTGTTGCTACAGCTGAGATCCCTGAAACACACCTTCTCAGGGCCCTGCTGCACCAGCCCCAGCTCCCCGGCCTTGGCCAACTGCAGAGGACAGGATGGGCCTGCTTCTGGACCCTGGTCCCCAGGCCTCGGCCCCAGGGCCAGGTACCACGGGCTGCTGGAGCCCCAAGGGCTGGTAGGAGGAGAGGGAAGGGGAGGGTCCTGCATTTATGGACCCAGCACATTGTGAAGCTACCTTTGATTGGACAGAGCAGGCTTTCAGAAGACCCAGGGCCACCTGGGTGGAAATGGATACAGCCAATTCCCCCTGTGACTCCTAAGCCCTTCCCCATCCATCTCTCAGGAAGGAGCATGTCAAGAGCTTAGTGTTATCACCCACCACCCCCCGCTCCCTATACAGGGAGAGCCATTTCTTCGAGGACTCCTACTTTTTGTCTGCTTCAAACTCCTGTCCCCAGCACGGCCAAGTACCCACCACCTCCTGTGTCATCCCGGCTTATGTTGAGAATGAATGATTTGTCCAGCAGAGGAGGGGGACTTGCTCTCATGTTCCCCCTTCCTGGCTCATTCCCACCGGGAGGAGATGCCTTCAGCCAGAGAGTGAACTTAACTTCCAGGCCATCCCCTCTAGCCTTACTGACTAGCGCCAACCTGGTTAGCCCCCAAGCACTATGATGGCATATATTTCAGGAGCTCCCAGCCACCCCATCCATGGGCAGCCACCCTCCACGCCTTGTACTAGACTGCCCACCGTCTGTAGTTGGCCAAACAAAAGTTAGGAACGAGATGATGATGTGTCACGGTTCCTTGGTTGTAAGCAACGAACCAACTCTAGCTAACCCAACAAACGGAGACCTTGGTTCAAGGGCTTTCAGGTAGCTCACAGAGACGACAGGAGGCTGGAGATCCAGTCTTAAAATGGGATAGGAGCCAATGGCAACTGGTCAACTGTTCCGTTGGAGAGTTACTGGGGAGATGGGTGTGCGCTCAGAGTGATCTCTGAGGATGCACGGGTCTGTCCAAAATTCACAGTGTCAGGAGAGTCTGAGTGGCCCTGTCTGGCTCATGGGTCCACCTCTTGGCTCGTGGAAAAGTCCTTTGATTTACTGTCCCACCCAGAGGGCACACAGGGCGAGAAGCTCAACTCCACAAACAACAGCTGGGGTGCTGGGGCGCCCGGGTGGCTCAGTCGGTTGGGGGGCCCACTCTTGATTTTGGCTCAAGTCACGATCTCGCAGTTTCATGGGTTCAAGCCCCGTGTCTGGCTCTGTGTCAGCAGTGTGGAGCCCCCTTGGGATTCTCTCCCTCTCCCTCTGCCCCTCCCCTGCTTGCACTGTCTCTGTCTCTCTCAAAATAAATAAACTTAAAAAAAGCTGGGGTGCTACCTCCAGTGGAAGGGAAATAGATGCCGGGCAATTAGACAAATGGCCCCGCGAGGGCCTTTGTCTCTATGTTTCGCCAACTATGTGGCTAATCGACCCCACCTCACTACCGCAGAAACCACACCCGGGAAACTCTCCTACTCTCCCCAACCCAGCCTGCTTCATAGTCACATCCGGTTCCACTGACCCTGGAAGTTGATCAGCCCCTGAGCACGGGGCAAGCGGCCCAGAAGCGCCTCCAGGGTGCCCTCTGGAGGCCACAGCGGGTATGACCTCCTGGACGACAGGAATTCAGTAAAGGTTGCAGAATGAATGAATCTAACCAGCCAGAGCCCCAGCGTATGTTGCCCAGTAGGTGCCCAGGACCCTCCCCTCAATGTGTACACGGCATCATTCACTCTGAGGCCCAGAGAAAGTTATGCGTGCGCTTCACATACTTTAGGGGTAATCAGTCCAGAGGCCTTCTGACTTTAATAGTCTGTCTCCACTACCTTTCCCTACTGTCACGCCCCTGGGTCTCACCCTCCCTCCACCAGTCACCCACCCTGGGGACCATCCATCCTGGATGGAACAATGTTGAGTCTTACAGGAAGCCTCGAGGGAGGGGGATGCCACCGTGGTTAAACCCTCTCACCAAGTGGCAGGGGAAAACCTGACCCTGTTCTACTCCTGCCGTGGGGGATATACCTGTATGCTCGCGGAGTTAGCCAAATCATTCCCTCCTCCCATGTAAGAAGTCCACAGGTCCGTTCAAATGCATCCCATAAATATTTATTCAGCATTTACTAACTGGCAGGTACCATGGGAGGCGCTGGTGGTACCGCGTTGCACTTGCAGGCTTGAGGGGAGGACACACGGGGCCTCTCGCACACGTATGTAACGAAACCGTGATATTTGCCAGAGGGAAATGTACATGCTAGAGCAGACAGCAGGAGGCCATGTTACCTGCAGGTGGGGGCCGGTTTCTCTAGAGAGGTAATGTTCCAGTGCCATCTGCAGGGTGACCAGAATGCCAAAGGCGGACGGGGGAGGTCATCTGTCTGTCTTCGGAGGCCACCGCACCGTGCTGGGCCCTCGGTCATGGGAGGGAGCTTGGTCTGGATTCTCAGAGCAAGCATACAATCCTAGCTGATTTTAAGCAGGCTGCAGTGGATGACTGAGGGAAGGGCATTGAGGGAAAGAAAGTGAACATCTAGGGGCGCCTGGGTGGCTCAGGAGGCTAAGCGTCTGACTTCCGCTCAGGTCATGATCTCACAGCGCATGAGTTCGAGCCCCGTGTGGGGCTCTGTGCTGACAGCTCGGAGCCTGGAGCCTGCCTCGGATTCTGTGTCTCTGGCTCTCTCTTTCTCTCTCTCCCTCAAAAATAAATAAACATTTTAAAAACTTAAATTTAAAAAAAAGCAAATATTTAGGCAGGAGGCCAGGCCAAAGGGAGATTTGGATGAAGTGGGGAGAAGCGGGGGGGATCTAGGGAGTGTTTTGTCCTTGGAGGACTTGATAAGGGAGCGCAGATGGAGAGCAACCCCGGGGTTCTGGAGGGCGCGCGTCCCTCTGTCGCTTGCACCTACAACAAACCACCTGTGACTGTCCCCGCCACCCAGAACTGCCATCTCATCCAGGTCGGGGACCTTCTCTTGTGCCCACATCCGGGTATGTGAGACAACCTTGGTGCATCTCGGCTCCAGGCCGTGAGGCTCTGCAGTCGTGAAAGCCACCAGTAGGTGGCAGCACACGAAAAAGGAGCGGGCCACTTCTTTTTCAAGGACCTGAACAAACCCCCCCCCCCCACCCCCACCGCCGCAGCCTTTTGACTCCCTGTGGCCGGTTTCCCCCCAGGGTCCCAATTCCCAGGAAAGACCTCAGTCCCCAGCCTTTCTGAGCTGCCTCCGTGGAGGGTGTGGCTTCCAAGGCCTGGGGCTGCCCAGTAGCTGCGTGGTTACAGCCTCTTTATTTCTGGCTGCCCGTGGTTTTACCAGGCTTGGTTGTCCCCCTTCCCGGCCTTGCACCCTTCCTGGGCATCCGGACCGTGTCCGTGCGAGCCTTCCCGGTCAGGTCAGGGGGCAATGGGCAACGCCTATGCGGGGAGCCCCTCGCCTGAGTCAGAAGGTGGGTTCGGGTCTAGGCACGGGGGGTTAGGGTGAGCGTGGCCGGAGAGGGCAAGCCTCGTTCTGCAAGGCTCAAGGCCTTCCCCGGAAGATGTGAGCGACAGGACTGCCCCCGCCTCCCCGGGTAAGGAAAGAGCGGACTTGGTGGTGGTGGGAAGGGGGTTGAGGTAGGTGAACGATGACCTAGTGAGGGACGCAAGAAGCTGAAGGTCAATTTAGGGGACACAGTGCCAGGAGGGAAGGGATTGTAACCACCTCCGTTTTGACCTCAGTCTGTACTTTCTAACTGATTGCGTTCTTCTTTCCAGCTTCTGTCTTAACTCAGGCGAGCACCCGACAGGCCAAGCAACCCCCATGGGAACCAACAGTACCCCCGTCGCGCCATGGGGACTGCCCTGAGCCGCAGGAGCCCGCGCGCCTGACCCCAAGGCAACGATCCACCTGACCTTCGCTGCCCACCTGCGCGGGCCCACCGACCTTTGTCCCACACTCGCCTTACGTGAACCTGGACGTATTTTCAGCGCTTTGGAGACGGCCTTTGAGACGCTAGTCTTCCCAGTGGTGGCCTCATTGGAATAAATTCCTTTCCTGTGTCCCCACCATCCATCACTCTGCCTTTGACTTTGTGAACGGCCAGTGGCCAAACCCGGTGTCCGGGACCCCCAGCCAGGGGCTCTTGCCCCCCGCACCCTGGCGACAGGAGGAACAAAGGCCAGAAGCCAGACCATCTTACCCGACGCTGGGGATTCGTTTTTACGGACTAGCATAGAGGTCTGTGGCCACATGTGACATCCAGGACTCCGTCCCCTGTTGTTGAGAGCCTTTGTCACCGACGGAACGCTGAGGGAAGGGCTTCACCGTGTAGGAGAAACAGTCAGAGTCCCCATCCCCACTGGTGAACTTCTCTGCCAGACGCTCACGGTCTGACCCCTTTCAACCTCTCCTCTCTTGCCCCCCACGCCTCCTGCTTCTGTTCCTTGTCTCTTCTGACCTCAATCGTCAGAGAGTGGTTCCCAGTTTCAGGAGACTCGTTATCCCCAGACCGCACACGGATCTCCCTCAGCCTCTGATGGATGCCCAAAGTGCCACAATCTCGTTGCATAACCTTATTAATATTACCTTATTACTGTTTAATGTATATGAGATATTTTATCAGCGGTATCGATCTGTTTTTTTTTGTGTTAATGCTTCTTGTCAGTTCAATCCAACGAACGCATGACAAAGACCCACTTGGGGGACGGCTGAGCCACCCCGTGACTCAGGTGTGCGTACTCTGGGACGGTGATGCATTCATCTGTCATCAGCCATTTGCTCCTTAGGTTGGACTGCTTGTGCTCCTGGGTCACCCCTAATTGGTCTTACGTAATAGCCCTGGCCAGGACGGCCCGATGGTGTTTCTGCCGAGAGTCCATTGGCAAACGTGCCCGGCCTGGTCTCTGCCGCTCTTTGTACGACACGCACTCCAGCCACCCGCACAACCTGCGTTTCTCAGGGGTGTAGGTCTGTACCCGGCCACCTGCATCTCCTCTGCTTGTTGCCTCGTGTTAAGGGTCAACTCTATCCAGGAAGCCCGCTTTGGTTGCCCAGATGGTGTTTGCATGTGCCAAGCTCTGTGCTAGACACAGAGGATCCCGAGATGAAGAAATCATGGTCCGGAACCTAAAAGTGCCCTCCGGCTCGGGGACGGGGCAGTGTGGTCAGTGCTGTGATAGAGGTGAGCAGCTCGGAGAAGGTGGCACAGAGGAAGCTGCAGAGGGGAGGATGTTCCAGATAAGGATTCCTGGTGAGAGGAGTTGCCGTTGTAGCGCGTTTGAGCCACTGCTGGTCGCTCAAAGGACAAAGCCGGGAAGTAATCAGAGATGACATCTGACCAGATCAGAAAGGGCCAGGCTGTGGATTTATGGATCTGGTCACTCTAACAACTTCGGTCTTTATCCTGAAGACTCTGGGCGGCCCCCCCCCCCCCCCGGAAGATTTTAAACAGGGGGGGAATGGGATCATACCGACATTTTAAAGACTTAGCTCTGGGGGCACCTGGGGGGGCTCAGTTGGTTAAGCGTCTGACTCTTGATCTCAGCTCAGGTCTTGATTTCAGAATCCTGTGAGTTGAAGCCCCGCGCTGGGCTCCACGCTGGGCATGAAGCCTAAAAAGAGAGAGATGCCTCCGGCTGGTGCGGGAACAGGAAGTCAGAGGGAATGGGGCAGGAGGCCAGGAGGTAGCCCCGGCCCGAACTCAGCTGACAGTGTTAGGACCGAGGGGGAGATCAGGGAGGGGTCACGACATGCCAAGGGGCTCGGGTTGCTCAAGAGTGCCGTCCAGCATCCGCCCTGGCCCCTGGACAGATGGCGGTGGTTTGCTAACACAGGAAACTCCAACGGGTATGGGGTTTGGTGGTTTGGACCAGTTGAGTTCAAGGTTCCTTGGCATCTTCAGATGGAAACGTCCGGTGGGCAGCTGGCCGTGCAACTCTAGACTGGACAGAAGGGATGAGACTCCCTCACCCTCGAGGGTGGCTAATTTAAAAAACCAGAAAGTGCCAAGTGTTAGCAAGGATTGGAGAGGTTGAGACTTTTGCGCACTATTGGTGGGAATGCGAAACGGTGGAAAGCAGTGTGGCAGGTTCTCAAAAAGTTAAAAATGAAATTATCACACGGGTGGCTCGGTCGGTTAAGCGACTCTTGATTCTGGCTCTTGATTTCGGCTCAGGTCATGGTGTCACGATTCGAGGGATCAAGCCCCGTGTCGGGCTCTGCACTGACAGTGCGGAGCCAGCCTGGGGTTCTCTCTCCCTCTCGCTCTGCCCCTCCCCTGCTTGCGCGCGCGCTCTCTCTCTCTCAAAACTAAATAAACATTTCAAAAAAAACCCAGAATTATCATATGATGCAGCAGTTCCACTGCTGGGTGTTTCTCCCAAGGAATTGAAAACAGGGTCTTGGAAAGATATGTGTACCCTCATATTCATAGCAGTACTGTTCAAATAGCCTACAAGTGGAAGCAACTCAAGTGACCATGGACGGACGAACGGATCCACAAAATGCGGCACGTCTATTTGTATATGTACACAGCTCAGCCTTGAAAAGGAAGGAAATTCTGCCGCCTGCTACAACATAGATGAACCCGGGGGACATTATGCTGAGTGAAATAAACACGTCACCAAAGGACCAACACTATGTGGTTCCACTTAACATGAGGTGTCAAACTCACAGAGACAGAAATTAGAACAGCGGTTGCCAGGATCCGGGGGAAGGAGGACAGGCAGGGGCCGGCGGGGTTATTGTTCAACAGATACAGAGTTCCAATTTTGCAAGAGGGAAGAGTTCTGGAGACAGATGGCGGTGATGTTTGCACCACAGGGCGAATGCGCTTCATGCCGCTGAAATGTACACTTAAGAAAAACCCGAAAATGGTTCTGACGGTAAATTTAGGTGAAATGTATTTTGCCACACTGGAGGGGGTAAAAGGCATTTGAGCCATAGATAGGGATTTGGGAATTCTTCGACCCTACAAGTGGTGACCGAATCTGTGATCTCAGCTGGACAGGGAACGGAGAGGACAAGAATCTGTTGCCCGATTGGCAGAGAAACTGATGGAAAGGGGCCTGGGGAGTAGCAGCCAGACTCATAGGAGGGGAGCCAGGAAGGAGTGGTGTATGGTTGTGGGGGCAGGAGAACAGGTCTCAGGCTCAGAAGCTGCAGAGATGCCAGCGACGAGGGGGACGCGTGGCCTCCGTGAAGCAGCTGCAGGGGGTGGAACCCAGATTGGGATGGGGGTCCGGGCTATGGGGGCTGAGGGAGCAGAGAAAAGTGCAGCGCCTGGAAACGTGGCTCTCCAGGGAGGGGAGGGAGGCGGTGGCCAGGCAGACACGGCAGCTGCCCTAAGTCGATGACAAGATCACTGGCTTTGCAGCTTCCTCCGATTTCATGCTCACTCAGAATCCTTCTGCGTCTATCCCGATTCCAAAGCCCACGTGGACATATGGCCCGCCAGACAGAGCCACTCTGGCTTAGGAAGCCGGCATTCGGGTGGCAACACCACCCTCTCGAGAATGGGATTGGCTCCTGGGAGCTTGCCGGACTCCAAACAGCTCGGACAAGATCAAGGTTGTGGCACCGCCGGGGTCAAGGTGCTGGATTGCGCGGCGTCTCTGCTCTCTCTCCCGAGCTGCCCTCTCCGCCTGCAGTGCTGTCCATCTGTCACACGCAACCTCCTCCTCTGAGGCTCGCTTCGGGCTTCGCTCCAGAAAGCCTTCCCCTCCAGCCCCAGGCTGGGGACGGGCTTCCCCCCTGCACCCTTTCCGGGGATCCCACGCTCCGGAATGTGTGCCGGCCACACGGTGTGTGTGATTTGCTTCTGTCCCCACTGAGCTTGGCCGGCCCCCAACGTCCGGATCCCAGCATACAGTAGGTGCTCCCTGCGCGTGTATCCAACTGATGAGTGAATAGCAAAGAAAGATTGGGCGGAAATCGTCTAGTGGATCGGAGGACAGGCGATGCATCCTTGGAGAGCAGCATTTATTGAACGCCAGCGGGGAGGGTCGTACGGAGAGAAGGACCCTGCCCCAAAGAGCGTATGCATGGCGGCTCTTGTTTGAAAGGCAAAGGGGAGTTATATTTGGCCTCTGTGCTCTCAAAATTATTTGTTCATACTTGCGGCTGGCACATTGTACACAATAAATCTTTGTTGATGCGATGAATGAGCCTTTATCACAGAACTTATGATACGATTTTCGAGTTTGTATGTGTGATTCCCACCCCTCACCCCGGATCATGAGCTCCTGGAGGTCGGGGGGCTGTGTCTCACGTTTGTCACCAGAATCTCGCCCAGAGCTTTGCGCATCGTGGGTACCGCGCGTGTTTATCGGCTGAAAGAGACGAGGACAGAGTGTTCACATCCACCCACACGCGGATCCTACCCTCCCCCTTCTCCCCCTCGGTATTATTTTTTCCACAGGAAACCAGGTGAAAAGCCCATTTCTTGTTATTGGCTTTCGATGGGCCTGAACGTTTCCGCAGGCTTCCTCGACACCATGCGCTGACAGCGGCCAACAGGCTTCCACGGCCTCTGAAGAGGTGCTGAGGGATCTGGGAAGCAGCGTGTGTGGCGGGTGGGTGGGGGGTTGGTGGTCGTCGTAAGGCCTGTGACGGGGATGGTGCATAGTGTCTCTCCGACGAGTGGGGCACCGGCTGATAGAAACAGAGCTGTGTGGGGCGCCTGGGTGGCGCAGTCGGTTAAGCGTCCGACTTCAGCCAGGTCACGATCTTGCGGTCCGTGAGTTCGAGCCCCTCGTCGGGCTCTGGGCTGATGGCTCAGAGCCTGGAGCCTGCTTCGGATTCTGTGTCTCCCTCTCTCTCTGCCCCTGCCCCATTCATGCTCTGTCTCTCTCTGTCCCAAAAATAAATAAACGTTGAAAAAAAAATTAAAAAAAAAAATAATAATAAAAACTTAGGGGCACCTGGGTGGCTCAGTCGGTTAAGCATCCAACTTCAGTTCAGGTCATGATCTCGCGGTCTGTGGGTTCAAGCCCCGCGTCAGGCTCTGGGCTGATGGCTCAGAGCCTGGAGCCTGTTTCCGATTCTGTGTCTCCCTCTCTCTCTGCCCCTCGCCCGTTCATGCTCTGTCTTTCTCTGTCCCAAAAATAAAAAAATAAACGTTGGAAAAAAAATAACAAAAAAAAAGAAACAGAGCTGTGCACCTGTGGGGGGGCGGCGGCGCCGAGAGCCGCATGCTTAACTTACTAAATTCTCCAATGCGTACGTTCGTTTCTTTTTTCTTTTTCTTTTTGAAGTTTATTTCTTTATTCTGAGGGAGACAGAGACAGTGTGAGGGAGGGAGGGGCAGAGAGAGAGGGAGGGAGAGAGAATCCCAAGCAGGCTCCACACTGTCAGCACAGAGCCTGATGAGGGGCTTGAACTCATGAAACTGCGAGATCATGACCTGAGACCAAGAGTCAGACGCATAACCGACTGAGCCCCCCAGGCGTCCTGAGTATATTCATTTTACTAATACGTGCACAAAGGGGAGGCATCCAGTGGGGATCTGGCCCAGGCACCCCTGCCCTCTCGCACAGACCAAACAACTCCCCTGACCCCGTCTCCCACCTTTGTTCTGCCTGCTGGGGAGATGGGCTTGTCTAAGCAGGCATGAGTTTCTC